GGGGGTGTGGGAAGGGGGGGGGGGAAGAGGAGTTAAGAGAGCACTGCATCAGCCTCTCCCACGATTCAAGATTCTCAGCAAGGCTATACGTATCGACTCGACTCGGTGGAGCGCGGCAACCATGGGACCTACCAGACCCGCGGGTTAAAATTGGTGACGCGCCAATCCCGTTATTTTTCTCGCGCGGAGGATGGATGCCGCTATCGGTGCAAACTCAGCCATCCTCGCAGCGCTTCTTCCAAAAACGCAAAACCGGCGGCCCCACCCAACTTCTCTCAGCCTACCGCAAAAACAACAATCATGGAGCCGGCATTCGAGCGAGACGCATGGCCCACCAAGAGCTGAACTCAGTCGCGACAGGCGTGGCACACAGACACGCCCCCATCACAACCGGCACGGAAAACGCGCAGGCTAGCTATAGCTACCCTCTCGAAACGGGGGGGATGGCGCGCGCTAAACGGGGGCACCGTGCATAAGTTCAAAAGCTGCCTCGCGAACGAGGCTTCGAAGTGTTAAACGGGGGCCTCGTGCATCATACCTCGCGAACGGGGACCCCGTGCATTGAACATAGGGGTCCAGTGCATCATATCTCACCTTTTTCGAGTGTTCGGGCAGTGCCTCGTGCCGCCCAAGGCGACCGCAAAGCGGGCAGACGAGGACTGGCGCCCCAGCCCCCCCCGCCGACCGGGGACTCTGTGGGATAGCTTACCCCCACTTCCCCCCTCGGCGGCCGTAGCCCCGGTTCCGTCGTCGACCTGCCGCGTCTTAGCTGCCCCGGAAGGTGGCAACGCTCCGCCCGGCATAGGGGTCGGCGATGACGTCGACCTCTTCGCCGCCTCCAGCAAGGAGCTTGTACGGCGGACACCACCCCCCCGGCCGTCGCCGACGTTGCCGCCGCGAGCGTACCCGGCGGTTGACACCGACACCCCCGAGATGGCGCAGTTTAGGATAGGTAGGACGCCGCTACCGCCGCCGCCGCCGCCGCCGCCGCCCGACACCGCCACGCTCATGTCAAACTCTCGCGCCTCAACGTACTGGCATGACCAGGCTAGGCTATCTCTAAGCGGGAGGTGGGAGCTGCCGGCATCGCCGCCGGAGGAGGCCGTGGACGCGGGAAGACTGTGGCACCGGCGAGGCGGCAGCAGCTTGTCGTCATCCCTCCGCACTTTCTCACCCCACCCGCCACTAACCTCGACCTCTCCCCGACGAGGCCCTGCGTCAGCGACCTCCCCGCCAAACCCGTCCGTGGTGGAGCAGCACCGGAAGCGCCGCAGCCACCGGACGACGTCCCCGTACTCCATGTCCCCCGGACAAACGCCGGCCTGGTACGGGAACTCCACCCGCACGTCTCGAACGGACGCCGTGAAGACCTTCGGGATCTTCACCTTTCCCCTGCTACCCCCGGCCGCGCCAACCCTGCGGCCGCCGCCGCCGCCGCTGCCACCGGGCCTTGCTTCCCCGCTCGTATCGCCGGCAGCTCTAGCGTCACCGCCACCGCCACGGCCGGCGTGTTCCGCCCGTTCTTCGGAGGGTCGCCACAGCAGGTCGGCCACGGCCGGCAGCAGGTCGCCCCCCGAGAACACTCTGTTCGCGAAGCAGGCGGCGGCGCGGGAGGTCGCGCCGACGGCGGGGAGCCCGAGAGCGTCGCCGGGGAAACCTCGCGGTGGACCCCTCCTCGCCGCCGCGTCTGCGTCAGGGGATGGCATGCCGGCGGACCGAGGCGGCGACACAGGCGGCGGCGGTGGCGGCGGCGGCGGCGGCGACCAGTACTGCAGCGGGTCGTAGCCGAGGCCTGACCTAGAGACGGGGGCTGGGAGAAAACCTGCGGCCTTGAGGGACGAGACGATCTGCGCGGCGGGCAGGCAGGGGGGGGAAAAAGATCCGAAAAGGGAGACTGGGTCGCAATACGGACAACCATGCGACAGCTTTTCGTGGGTTTTGGTGCACGAGAGGTGAACAGACTTCTACACCGTGCCACAAAACCACGGGGCACTTCATCAAGTAATGAACCCCATGAATTCCTTGGCACAATTCCCCCCTCCCCTCGAAAAAAAACGTCTGACCATGTGCGCTCTTGGAAAAAATCAGGGTCTGCACGATGCGGGCTCATGGTCTGCTGCCTCGACTCGTTCAAGTGATCATCACTCTTCCGAAGACAAAGAAAGAGATTCGTACCATAGCGCCAGATTGTCCCGCCAAGAAGAACAGCGCAGGACTCCACTCCGCCCACACGCCCTCCACCGCCAGACCATCCACTCCCGCCGCTGCCGCCGCTGCCGCAATGGGCGGACCGGGTACCCCACTACGCCCGCTACTACCGCGGCGCCCTCCCGACACATCGCTCTCTGTACCACCGCTCCGCGACCCACCCGTGACGAACGTGGCTTTGCGAATCGCCAGCCAGCGCAAGCGATGAGTTTCTCGCCGCGGCGTTGCCACTGCCGCCGCCGCCGCCGCCGCCGGCAACACGGCATCACGCCTCTCGGCCTTACCCGCCGTCGAGTCCTGCGGCTCCTGTCCCAAAGGCCCCGGCGGCGGCGGCGGCGGTACCATCGTCCCCGGATCCTCCACCTCGAAGTGGCCCTCCACCGACTCCGCGGACACGGTCACCGACGCCCCGCCCGAGGTACCGGCTACTTCCCGACTACTTGGCGGGGCTGCGGCCAGCGCTACCGCTGTCGAGCAAGCACGTATCCCGACGCGAGGGACTGTCAATCGAATGATCGTCGCCGCCGCCGCCGTCCCGACACCAGCTTCCCCGGCGTCCGAGCCGTCGCTGCCGGGGGGGGGGTCTGCCGCCGCCGACGCGGCCGAACGGGAGCCCCGGGGGGAACCAGAGGTT